GTTTGTGCTTCCTACGTTTTGATGCTCTGTCATTGGATGTGTTATATCTTCTTGCTATATTGAACCTTGTATTGATATATCATGTCTTCTGTGTCTTGTTACCTTTTTTGATGTAATGTCTCTTGTCTGATACTAGTATAGCCACCCCTGCTTTTTTCTGGTTACTATTTGCAAGCAATGTCTTTTTTTCATCCTTTCCCTTTTAACCTGTGCGTGTTTTTGGATCTAAAGCAGACCTCTGTAGACAGCATATAGTTGGTCACTTTTTTTTTATCCATTCTTCCAGGTCTGCCTTTTGATTGAAGAATCTAATCCATTGACATTTAAAATATTTACCAGTGAGATGTTCTCATTTCTGCCCTGGCTATTGTGGCTCAGTGAATTGAGTGCCAGCCTGCAAACCAAAGGGTTATTGGTTCAATTCCCTGTCAGGGTACATGTATGGGTTGCAGGCCAGGTGCCCAGTAGGGGGTTCATGAGAGGCAACCACACATTGATCTTTCCCTCTTTTTCTCCCTCCCTTCTCCTCTCTAAAAATAAATAAAAATTTTTTTTAAAAAATGTTCTTATTTCTGCCCTTTTGCTATTTGTCTTCTGTGTACTTTATAGCTTTTTGTCCTCCTTTCCCACATCATTGTCCTTTGTGTGTAGCTGATGAAACGTTTTAATTCCCTTCTCATTTCCTTTCATATATGTTTGATAACCATTTTCTTTGTGGTTACATTTAACATCCTAAAGTTACAGCACTCCTCTTTGAGTTTATCCCAGCCTAACTTCAGTAACGTGCAAACTCTGCTCTGACCCTCTCTTTCTGTTGTTGATGCTGGGATTTGTATTGGATTGCGCTGAATCAGTTCATCACTTAACAAAAATTTGACATCTTAAAAATACTGGATCTTCTGGTGCATGAAGAAGGTTTCTCTCTCCATTCTTTCCAGTCTTTTTAAATTTCTGTCCATGGTGTAGTTTGCCGTGCGCAGGCTCTGCACGTACTTGTTAAATTTGTCCCTGAGTAGTTTGTGTGTGTTGATGATACTCTGGATGGTATTGTCTTTTTAAATTTTCATTTTTTGCATATAGAAATAAGTTGATGTTCACATATTAGCCCTGTATCCCACAACCTTGCTAAAATTACTTAGTAGCTTTTTTGTAGATTTTTTATGCTTTTCTAAATACATGATGTCTGTAAATACAATTCTACTTTCCTTTCCGGTCTGTATGCCTTTTACTTCTTTTTTGTGCCTTATTGCAGGAATTTCTTCTTTACATGGCACAGCAAATTATCCAACAGTGTTAACAGATCACTAAGCTCAGCAGTCAGCTCACTGAGAACCTTTTCATTATGAATTTGTGATCTGTGTACATTGAATTTATATTTACTTTTTATTGAAAATATAACCAGATATGATTGAGACAAAACATTCATACTTAAAATATGATACATCTCTTAATTTTATTACAGAATTTTAGAAATGTGAAACTTTAGATATAATTTTTAATGATAGCGCATTTTGAAATGATATAGGTATTTTTATGGTAATGATAGAGTTTATCATTTAGGAAATACTGAACCAGTGACCTTGGCTATTCAGTTATGATGAAAGGCCCAATCTAACCTTTTATTGAATGTGATATTTATTAAAAATGAAACTTCTCATTTCTAGCACTTAATCAATAGCACATTAAGCCATTTATTACTGTGATTAAAGAAGGCCTTGCAGACTGGATATTCTACTTCCCCATCATCTAGTTTAATTTTATTTTTCTATTTTATTGAATTTGGGGGGTGACATTGGTTAATAAAATTTAAAAGGTTTCAGGGGTACAGTTCTGTAGCACATCATCTGTATGTTGTAGTGTGTGTTTCCCGCCCCAGGTCCTCTCCTTCCCTCGCCGTTTATCTCCCCTTTATCTAGTTTAATTTTTTAACGATCTGGAACTAGCAGATTAACCCAGGTCCATCAAATCCATCTAATCCTGTGCTTGTAACTTGTATGAGGTTCTGGAAGGAACCATTAAAATTTCCAGAAAGAAAATGGTTTGTAATGGTTCTTCAGGAAAAAACAAACACCCTTTACATCTCTCATAGCTAAACCTACCTTGAGAAGGTGAATTTTATTTGTCATTAGTTAACTATTATGTATTTGCTTAAAACAGTGGGGTTTGGTACCGGTGGTATGTTGTTAAGTGTGGCAAATAACGCGTTGTATAATTGGCGTCGGCTAGGAAAGAAAACTATGGTAGGAAAAGGAAAAGGAGCCACAGGCTGGGATTCTGCAGCCGTCTCTTCTGCGGAGCTGAGTCTTTACTGAAGCGTAGAAAGCACCTAGGCACCAATGCTCATGCCTTAACAATGCAGCCCAGCACATTGTCACCGACAGGGGCTGTGACATGGATGGATGGTCCTGCTGCCCTTGCACGAGGGCGGCGCCCCCTCCAAACGGTTCCAGGTTCGGGCACGCGCTGCCAAAGGAACCTTGGAATTGGATTTGAGGAGCACGGCAGCCAGAGCGGTTAAACCCCTGCCACGTGCGAGGCATGGGGAAGCACTTGGACGCGTGTCCTCTCATTCACCCCTCACAAAAGGGCTACAGTCAGTGAGTCTCTGTGAACGCTGGGCACGGTGTGAGGCGGCCTGTGGTCATTGCCTCCTGTTCTCACACCACCCAGCCCGTTGGTCGCTACAGTAGGTCGTTACTGTCCCCTTTTGCACGTGCGAGAGCTAAGGGTCAGGAAGCTCATTTGCCTAAAGCCACACAGCTTTGAAGTGACCGATCCAGTCTCCATCCACAGGCCACTTGACTCCAAAGTCTGTGTTCCTGACCCCTAAACACAGAGCGAACCACACAGGGGACCACGTGGGCAGGTAGGCAACTGAGAATTAGTCCGTAATGTGACTCCCAGAGGCCGCACCATGGAGAGGCCTGGAGAGCGGTCAGTGCCTGAGTGGGCAGGCGTCCACCCCGCTCCTGGAGGCGGTGGCGCTCAGCCAGGTCCTCCACCCATTTCCAGTGAAGAATGGGAACCTGCAAGGAGCTGCTGGTCTAAAACACCAGTACGAGCGGACACGCCTGTCTCAAAAAGCGGCAGCAGCCTCCGTGTCTGGCTGAAAGGACAGGCTGAGTGGCTCAGGCCAGATGTTTCTTCTCTGAATAACAGAATCATGTAGAGTTAGGCTCTTAGAGGTCATCCCCCCAACCACCTACCCCACGGGCTGGGAGAAACCAGCCCGAGACGCCGGGCCTCCCCACAGCCGCTCCTTGGCGCCGTCGCGACGTGCCTCTCCGCTCCCACCCACTGCCTTCCTCCTGGGGCCCTTCACAATGCCTTGCTGAAAGCCTCTGGTACAGCTGCGCAAGTTGCCCAGTCTTCTCACATCTGAATATGTTAGTCCATTATAAAATATTTTAATGATATGCTAAAAAAATTCCTAAAAAGTACAGTAAAGGTTCGCCTATTTTAAAAAATTTTTTAAATTTGTTTATTTTTAGAGAGAGGGAAAGGGAGGGGAGAAGGGGAGGGGAGAAGGGGAGGGAGAGAAACCTCAATGTGTGGTTGCCCCTCGCACACCCCCAACTGGGGACCTGCCGGTAACCCAGGCCTGCGCCCTGACTGGGAAATGAACCAGCGACCCTTTGGCTCACAGGCCGGCGCTCAGTCTGCTGAGCCCCACCAGCCAGGGCAGTTTTGCCTTTCTTCACTGATGAAAAAACTCATTAGTCCTGGAATTGAAAGATGCTGAAAAATTGTAGAAATTATAGAAAAATATAGTTTATCATTTTCCCTTATAACCTTGATCCCTTGCTTGACTGTGCCCCTGTCACTGCCCCCTTGTGGACATGTGTCCCAGGTCATGGTCCCTGAGCATCGCCCCCCCCCCACACCCACCGTCCCCTCCCCCCTCGGTCCTGCTCTGATCCCTCTGCCCAGGGAGCAGGTCTTTCAGGTCCCTTCGGCATCTTGTCTGTGACTCAGAAAGGCGCTTCTCTTGTCGAAAGGGTGGGGTTGCCTCCCAAAATAAGATCTTTTCTACTTGACAGATCACCCGGATGGAGGCGACCTTTTGGCACCACGCCTAATACACCAAAATGGCCCCTGAGACTGATATAAATCAGACACAATCTTCCCAAAAACAGACAAGAGGGGCCAGCCGGAGGGATGGGCAGTGTTCCTGGCCTGTGGGGGGCCTTTCTGAGAAGGTCTCGGTGGCCGTGAGGCAGGCCCAGTGGAACGTGGACCTCTGCCGTCATTCTTCCCTCCCTCCCATGTGGCTGAAACAGTGTCCTCTTGGTCACCTGGGCTCTTGGTGTGACGCATCTTCCCCCTCCATGCGGACCGCTGGGAGAGCTGGAGGGCTGTGCGTGCTGGGGCGGGGGCTTTGTTTTCACTACCAGATAACGAAGCCGCTTTATCCGCTTCGCGTAATACCCCCCAGAGTTTGAGGTTGAATTAGACGTGTGTTGGCGTTAACAGTTTGTCTGACTTTTAAGGATGAATGCTCCTTGCGTTTCCTTTGACGGGAAACTGACGGAACGCGTGGCGTTTCTGTCTCCCGGTGTGTGGTTTTTCTGTGCGAACAGACTCCTGTGGAGGGCACGTTGGCAGGACTGACTGCTAATCACTTAGGTTCCGGGGGAAGCGGCCTCTGCAAGCTTTCCCGTGTCAGCCCGGCCCCCACCGGACCAGGGGAGAGAGACACAGCTTTCATTCCTTCTCATAGCAGCACGTCCCAGCAAAACACACCCGCCACTGATGTAGGTAACTGATCACTTTATTAACCATGGGAAAGGTGGCTTATTGGCGTAATAAAGCATAACTTCATTGTGTCCTGTGTAGAGAGAACAGACACGTTGGAGAGCGGCTGACAGGTCCTGTCCACACCCCCCCTCCCCCAATCTCAGGGCTGCGTGTGATGGTGATGAGGATGATGATGATGATGTTGGGGGTGGGGGTATGTCAGGAGCACTGATCGCTCTCTAACTGGGTTTCTCCCTCTGCAGGCCTCTTCGGAAGAGCTGAAAGCTGCCTACCGGAGGCTCTGCATGCTGTACCACCCCGACAAGCACAGAGACCCGGAGCTCAAGTCCCAAGCGGAGCGACTGTTTAACCTCGTTCACCAGGCTTATGAAGGTCAGTTGGCAGCCTGGGCTTTGTAGAAATACCCCGGTAGCAGGCATTCGATTTTTAAGAGACTTGATTTGTAGAGAATAGCAAAAGAGAGCCCTTAGAGGTATATAAAAGAGGTGGTTAGTTTAGTCCTTTTTACTGACAGGGTCCTTTGAAAGAGAAGTATTTTCTTTGGAAATCAATATGTGTCTGGTCAGTAGAAAGTGAGAGCTCAGGTGAGGTCACGGAGCAGGAGCTGAACTGCGGGGGATACTCAAATTTTAAATCATCGGCTGGTTTCCTTCTAAAGGGAACTCTTAGAGGTAAAAGGCCGATCGTTACAGACAAGCTTGCTTTGTTCTGTTTTTTTGTGAGAGGATAGAAGAACATTTTTTTATTTGCAAGTGATTTTATTGGCTCTGTAGTATTCAGTTAAGGAAAGGTTCTAACAAAAGAAAGAAAAAGATGTTAAGAAGGTTAACAGGAAATAGAATCAAGTAATTCAGGTTTTTATACTTGTATGTATTTCAGAAACGCTGTTTTGTTAAGATTTAGATTTTATTTATTTATTTTTAGAGAGAGGGGAAGGGAGCGAGAGGAGCATCAGTGTGTGAGACAAACATCCATCCGTTGGCTCTCGCACGCCCCCAACCAGTTACCTGGCCTGCGGCCCAGGCATGTGCCCTGACTGGGAATCGAACCGGCAACTTTTTGGTTCGTAGGCTGGCGCTCAATCCACTGAGCCACATCAGCCAGGGCTCAGAAAGATTATATTGTGATATATTTGTTTATAAAATATTAAAGTCACTAATAGCTAGAGTTTCCGATTGTGATGATGAAAAAGTTCTAGAAATGTTGGTGTTTACACAACATTGTTAATGTACTTAATGCCACTGAACTGTGTGTTTAAAAATGATTAAAAGGGTCAATTCTATTTATGTATATATTACCACAACTTTAAAGAAACAAATTTTTAAAATAGTACATCACTCTTAGGATGTGTACCCAGTAAAATAAGTTATTTATCCTGGAACCATTTGGTTATTTGCTACCTAATTAGAGAGACCAAACATTAGATGATGTGTTTACATAATAAAGACTTCTCACTGCTAATAGAAAACATATGCTGTACTTCACTATGTAGCTTCACCAAAAAGGTAGATGTTAATGACCAGCGACACACAGGCCGTGGCTTATGGTATCGGTGCAGTCAGTGTTGTGTCTTTACCAAATTTAACTCTGTTCAGGCCACTTCTGTGGTGGCCCTGGCCACAGCCTGGTTGTTCACGGGACGCTGCCGTCCGAATGGCTGCACCCACTTTCCTGTTGCCTGACGTTCCCGCGTCACTGGCGTGTGCTGTCCTGGAGACTTGGGGGCGGTGAGCAGGAAAACCCTCCCGGTGCTTGTGAAAGCGCCACAGCAGCGGTCCCGGCCCGGCGCTCAGCCTGGGGGAGACGCATCGAACCCTGAAGCGCCCCTCAGTTAGACCCAGGGATTAACTGCGGCAGTTCGGCGCCCCTGTTTCCACGTGGTCAGCATTCCTCTCTTCCTCACGAGATAGACTCGTGTACATCGTTTTTTAATTAGGCCTAAAAATGTATGGGGCAGCTCGGAGGAGCAAAGATTCAAAGGCCTCAGACCGGAATTGGCAGCGCGGATGAGGAAGTTAATGAGTCTTAGCCTCACTGGTGTTTAAATTTGGTTTGGCTCTCCTTTGAATAGCTCTCAGCCTCACTGAAAAATCTTTTTCTGATGTTCTTTGGTGATGTGCCAACATCAGAGTGACAGGTCTTTGTGTCTTTTTAAATGATTTACAAATAAAGAGGAGAGGCGTGAAGAAAAATCCAGACCGTCTCAGGAGTTAGTGAGACTCTACGGAGCGAGGAATAAAGCATGTCTTTCCAGCATCAGAACCTGTCCCTAGTGTTACATTACGCTGCTTTGGAAACTAGAGTTAACACTTTCAGACCAAGGTACTCTATAGACTGCTGTAGAAACTTACTAAATTCTTTTAAAATCATCCGTCCTTTAGCGATACAAGGCGCACTTCCCAGTTCAGGGTGGCTCAGACACGACACTCTGACATTTCTCCTCCGTGGCCACCTTTAAACAGGCCCCAGATTGGACCTGACGAGCAGCGAGGAGGAAAGACGCACAGGGAGTGAAGTGGGCTCCCTGCGAGAGGGTCGCGGTGCACCGGGTGGGGCCTGCCGGGGACCCCGCCGCCAGGGCTGGGAGGCGGGTTTGTGCTTTGTCAACATGTCTGATGTTTGTTGGCAGTGCTCAGCGACCCGCAGACCCGGGCCATCTATGACATTTATGGGAAGAGAGGACTGGAAATGGAAGGATGGGAGGTAAGAGAGTGTGTGTCCGCTGTCCCAGAAAGGTCACTCAGCACCGGCAAACGGCCACCCCAAACCCCCGCCGCAACGGCACCTGTGAGAGCATGCAAAGATAGCGGCGTCCCCCCTCACCCTGTATTTTGGTTTAAGAGGTTGAGTTCTGGGCCCGGGCAGGTCACATGCCCACCTTGTCCTCTGCATCCTAACCTGCCGAGGGAAGAGGAAGGGGGAGGGCAGACTCGGCCAGGAAGCCCTGGCACGGTCCTGGCTCCCGCCCTCCTCGCCTCTGCACCTCTGCCCCGCTGTTGTAACTGCGTCCCGCAGGTGTTGCTGCTGGTGAAGCGATGTGCTCGTGAATAAAACGGAAGCGGAGGGAAGCGGAGAACTGCTGGGTTAAATTGTCTCTAATGATCCTTCCAGCTATAATGTACTGTAGATACTAGAGCGTTCTCGAATGTGGTGAGGACAACAAAGCAGCGAGTAGCAAGTGTGCATGAAACAGGTTACCCTGGGCAGCCACGCTCAGTGAGAACAGTCCCTGAAATTCAGGAGCTTCCTTTTCTTGTATTCTGCCACTGATGGCCTTAGAGCTGTGGGCGAGTCACTGGATGCACTACCAAGGTACTATCTGGAAAATGGAGGGGAACATTAGTTGTCAAACTCCAAGTTGCTGTAATAACATATAGGTGCCATTTCTTAATTTCATTAAAGAAACTTGGTTCTGATGCCTAAGAAATTTTGCGCAACTGTTAACATTAAATTGACTACTGTTGAGTTATTTTTTCATCATTGTGTAAGACTTCCCTTGAAGTTCTTTGGGCATTTCATCTCATACCTGTGTGCCTGTCTCTTCTAATTCTAGCATGAAAACCTCCTAAAGGCCTTCAGATAAGATAAGCAAAACAGGGTTCTAGTCCCCTTTCCACTGCTGCTTAATGTTGGTGGCTTGTGGGCCACATTTGATCTGTATCCCTGTTTTGGTTACCTACTTGATGAATTGTTGTTGCTAACATTTAAAATTTGAGAGGTTTTGCATAAAAATGCAGTCTTCTGTCTTCTTAAAAATCACAAGACCTGGTAACACGGTATCTGAAGGCCCCTCACCCCGCAGCGCCTCGGCCAACTCCTGCCGTCCAGCTGGTCCCGTCCCCACCGCCCCCTGTGGTCCTGTCTCCAGCCCGTCACTCATCCACATGCCCCACCCGGCTCCAGCAGGCACTTGGGCTGTGGCCTTGGGCTTGATGGAAGTAGCGGTGCTTCGTGTCACATGAGTGCATCATAGCTCAGTGGTCATTTAATAGCTTAGCATTTTCATCCAAAATAGAAAATAAAATCCTGTTGTACATGCTGAATCGCTGCTCGCGTGCTATACCCCGCCTCACAGCGCACAGTGGTTATACTGCGTGTAGGCGGTCACAGGTGGGGCTCGGACAGGTTTCTGTAGTCAAAGTGAACTGCTACGAGGAAGTCAAGTTCTTGTCGATCCGAGTTGGCTTTTTTGCAAGGACACTAAACCTTCACTGAAGATAAAAGTGCTTTCCAGGAAGACTGTGAAGACACTTCCCTAGATGTTTTGCAAAGAGGCGTCGGGCCTGACAACCGGCAGGGAAGCGGAGCCCGTCGTGCGCACTGTGCAGGGCGAGAGGCACTGAGCGCGAGTGCAGTTTCTGGAGCTGGCAGTCCCCTCGCTCCTTCAAGGACCCCCTCCTGCTTCCTTTCACAGGACTCCACCTCACCGCGGCTCCCGCCCCAGTTAGCACAGGCTGTTGTCCCAGCGCAGGTGGCCCGGGCAGGCGGGCGGCGCTGTGAACCGCCTAGCGTTGGAGGTGCTGGAGCACCGCGTCCGCCGCCACCGCCACCCCCACCCCGTCCCGGCACTGGGCTCGCCCCTCCCTGTCAGGGGATGCTGGCGATGAAGTGGAGCTTTTTGAGACTGCGTGAAATACTGGCCCTATTTTTTGTTGGGGTTTTTTTGTTGTTGTTTTTTCTTTAACCTTCAGGAGATTGTCACTGTCTGGCAGGATTCCAAGGGAACAAGAGGCAACCATTTCCTAGCTTGTAAAACCAGCCACGTTAGTGCTGGAAGTCGGCTCACCGTGTTTGTGCAGATACCCACATTGAAAACGCAACTGCCTCTTCCTCAGAGCGGCAGGAATCCAGCTTTGGGCTGCACGTGCTCTGACGGGGCACAACCTGGTGAGGGTTGGCAGGTGGCATGGAAGCCCCGGGAGTCGCACGGCTGAGGTCGGGGCGGCAGCTGCAGGCGCAGCCTGGCCCGCTCCCCCGCAGCTGCTGTCCGCAGCCCTTTACCCAGAGTCCGTGTTCCCTGTGACTCGGCCATCGGCCTTACGGAGTCTAAGGAAGCCGGCCGGCTGGTGTGTTAAAGGTCATGGAAACAAAGACACTCGTGGGTTGGGGGAGACGATGGGGGAGACAAGATGACTGAACGCAGCCTGGATCCTAGGCTGGATTCTGGAACTTAAAAGGAAAGTTGGTGGGAAAACTAGCGAGATCCAGAAAGTCCGCATGTAGTCCCTGGTAACGCGCTAGTGGTGGTTTCTCGGATCTGAGAGCTCGTCCACAGGTACGTGAGAGGACAACGGGGAGCTGGGTGAGGGACGCACATGGTCTTTCCGCCCTCTCTCTGCAGCTATTCCGAGTTCTAAATTTTTGTAAGTTTTGTAAATTTTATAAATGTATTCAAAAGTTGACTGGCAAGAACCGGCGACACCTTGGCATTGTGGTGTAATCCCCTTCGTTGCCAGCAGGGGCGAGGGCGGTGGCGGGGCTGACCTGGGGTCGCCCGGTGTCAGGGAGCCTGTTTCCCATCCGCCCTCCAGCACGCCGCCTCGCCTTCAGAAACCTGCTCTGCTCTTCCGCGAGGCCGGCCGGTCTTCCCGGCCAGCGCAGGGGTCGCTGGTGCCTGGGCAGGCAAGCGGCACAGGCGTGTGGACTCACGGGGCTGCATTTGACACACCGCTGATGGAAAGCGTGGAACGTGCCCGGCAGTTACCACCTGAGATGCGGAGTTAGGGTGCCGTGGTAGGTGCTTAGTTCCGAGGGCGACCAGGATGGCGCACAAACAACTTGCCGCTGGCCTGGCCGCCTCCCGCGCCCCGTCAGAATGCTCTGGGTGGAGGATGAAGCAAGTTGTAAAGGGTGGTGGGCCCGCCCTGCGAGTTCTCTGGAGGGGCCAGACCAGAAATGGAATAACTTAATGCTTTTACAACACTTGCCTCCTTAGCTTATCACAGAGTGTGGCAGAGAGCAATTTGCAGCTATTAATTCACTTGGCCAAGGTCAGGCAGTTAGAGTTCCTGCAAAGAAATCTCATTCTGCTCTGGCCTCTGTGAGACCTGACACTTACCAGTCTTTTAATTCCTGAGGGTCTCACAAATCTGTTTTGTTTTGGTTTGGTTTTTTCCTTAATCGGTATGGGGCCTATTCATGGAGTCTGTGTCACTGGGGAATCAGACTTGTCTAAATCTGCACCCTCAACACTGATGCTGCTGCCCAGACTCTCCCGTGTGGCGCCTGGCACCAGGCAGGGCAGCCCGGTGACAGTGGGCCCGTGGGGGACGCGCTTCCCGTCCAGTCCCTCCTAGTCCTTAGTAATGAGTCACGAGTCACCATCGGCAGGCGTCCGAGTGCACTGTGCTTCCTCGGTCACAGCTCCCCCGAACTGGGGGAAAGAGACATGAACTAATTTTCAAGGATTTTACGTCGTTGCCTTTTTTTTTTTTTCTTGGACTTTCTTGATCTTCAAGGTAAAGTGGAACGGTTGATTACATTTCCCCGAAACTTTTATTTTTATTTTCTTTTGATGAAGGGTGAGGCTGACAGACTGAGAAGATAATGCAAAGTTTGCCAAACTGTCCCTCGCCTTCTGCCCAAGAAGGGGTAACGCGGGGAAGTGAAAGTGGCGTGGGTGGGCGCACGCGCCTCGCCCCTGCAGGACCGACAGCGGGCGTGCCGGCCCGGCCGCACAGGCTGAGTGCGGCTCCGCGGGGCCACAGAGCCATCGCCACCCGGACGCTGAGGCCGTTCGTTTGTTCCTGGGGGCTGCAACAGTGTTCTTATTTTAAAACTTCCTTTAAAAGAACCGCCTTCCCCTTTTTATTAATGGGTGATTATTTATGTAGAATTACTGGAGAAAATGTTGTTCTTGGTATTCTTTTCTGTGCACTTCCTGAAAGCAGTAGTGAACAAATTTCTCAAAAATGATTTTGGTTAAGCCAGTGTTTATTTTTCTGTATTGTGAATAGTAAAATCAAGTTGCACAAAGCCTGTAATGTGACCCCATTGTTGTTAAAATATATGTACAGTTACATACAAACATACGTATATTTCGGTGTCTGTGAGAAGAGAGAGGGTGGTATGGGGGGGACTTTTACTTTGAGTCCTTCTGTACTGTTTTGATTTTTTGCTATTAGCATGTACTTTTTAAAAGAATTCTCAAACTTGTGATTTCCAAGATCGCCTTTTCTCACGTCACTCACCTTGTTAGACGTCCTTTGGACGGCCCCTTGGGCTTCCCTGCGTGTCCCCCACTGTTTCTCCCACGGCTACAGGAACAGGCTGTGTGGTCTTCCCCCCCCACCCCCCGAACGCCCTCAGCCCTGTGTGGTCCCTCCTCCCCGTGCATCGCGCAGGCCGTGGAGGTTGGGGCCCTTAGAAAGACCACGGTGCAGTTTCCTCTCACAGATGGGGCTCCTGAGGTCCCTCCCTGCCCCTTCAAGATCTCGGCTCGATTGCCCTCCTTTCGTGGTGAACTGAGAATGGCCAGGATGAGACACTTTGCCCTTGCGTGGACTTGATGTCCTCATGCGTCCCTGGGGGTCAGTGCTAACGTGGCCTGCTCCTTGCCGCCGGAGTGATGCTCACACTCAGATGTGGCCGAGGTTGTGATCTGAAGCTCTTACCATATTGGAGCAGGAAGGGTCCATCATTGGAAAGCCACCCAGACCTGAGGGTCTAAGGCCCCTGGGTCTAAGAAGCCCGGAGGGCCTTCCCAGTGGTGGCCCCGCACTCCAGGTCGCGGCGGACGGCTTTGCCTTCATCCTCCTATTGAGCACTAGTTATCTGGAACTTGTTAGGAAATTTAAACTGTGAGGCTTCAGGTGATGTTTTCTCTGTAAGCCTCAGCCTCAGAGGCAGGTTACTAAAATGAAGGGAATAATGCTTATGGCTCTCTGGAGACCATGACCTCAGGAACGGCCAGGGCGTAGAGCTAGGTGGCTCTGCCACGGGGCCTCGCCTCGCCTGGCCAGCGCCCGGGCCCTCTGGTGAGACGCTCACCCGAGCGCTCCAGCACCTCAGGCCCTGGGCTGCGTGCACTGTGACAGCCGCCGGCTCTGGCGTGCACCCTCGCTTCCCATCCTAACTGCTCTCCCCCGGCCCTGCCCCCAGGTTGTGGAACGGAGGAGGACGCCAGCCGAGATCAGAGAAGAGTTTGAGCGGCTGCAGAGGGAGCGGGAAGAGAGGAGGCTGCAGCAGCGAACCAACCCCAAGGTGAGCAGCCGGCCTGCTCCACGGCGGCCGGGCTTCCGGGCTTCCGTGTACCGGGCGGCGGGTCAGAATCACCAGGTGTGGCCGGTGTCACCGAGCAGTCACATGCAAAGCTGAACCCATCCCCTGGTTTTCCCAGAAGCCAGGGAGACTCAGCGCAGGCTCGCCGTCAGATGATTTCTTCTGGTCATCCTGCCCGAAGCCGTGCCGTGTGCAAACCCGTTAGAGGACAGTGTCCGGAAGGGACAGCCCCCCGAGCACACACTGAGGCAACAGGATTCCTTGCACCAGTCAGGATGGGGAGAGGTGGGTAGTGCAGAGGGTTTGGGACATCTCCAGACTTCGTTAAGCAGAGGCCCAGGCTCACCATCCCAGGACAGCGGGGCCACACACACAAGCCACCAGGCTGTTTGGGCAGTGCTGAGCGGACCCTCTTTAACTCAGTCCAGTCCCTGATGGGGTTTAGGTCTGTAGTCAGGGACGCTCCTGAGTCTGGGAGTTACTTTTCAGTCCAAAGGATATCTTTTTTCCTTCAATGTGTCGGGGAAGGAAATTGTTCTAAGCGCGTGCCCAGCCCTGGAGCAGACAGGCTGCCTCGGTCGGTCTGAGGGGCCAGTGGTACTGAATGACTGAACGGGGCCCAGTGTTTAACCAGCCTCAGCAGCCCGGCTCCGTCAAGTGTGGCCAGGCTGGCCTGGCAGGCAGCCTGGAAATCTTCTAAAAGGCTTTTTTTTTTTTTTTTTAATAAATTTTCAGAGAGAGGGCAAGGGAGGGTGAAAGAGAGGGAGAGAAACAGTGGTCGGTTGCCCCCAGCGGGGGACCTGACCCGCAGTCCAGGCATGTGCCCTGACTGAGAATCGAACCTGTGACCTTTCATTTAGCAGGCTTCTGAGCCACACCAGCTAGGGCCTGAAAATCTGAAGAAAAGAGCAAGTGCTACCTAACAGCTGAGAAACACAATAATAGGAACTTCTGGTCAAAAACACCCTAGAAAGTGGAAGACCCTCACAGCATTCAGAGGACTGGGTATTTAGAAACCCCTGTCTGTTTGGATCTCACATTTCAGAGTCTGTGTGTGTGCGCCAGCCCCTCCCCTTTCCACCCACCCTCCCCTTCGACAGATGATGGATTCAGGAGTGCGCAGTTGTCTTTTGGTCAGGCCGAGGTAGAGGACTGAACCTCTGGCTGAACCAACTCAGGGAGTCGGCGATGATTAGGGTTGAAAATCCCCAAGGTGCCATGAACGCTAGCGGGTTCCCTCCTCGGCTTCCCCGCTGGTGCTGAGGCAGGTCTGGCTTGAAAGGTCAGCACTGGCAGGTGGAGGTGAGGGTGGAGGCGGTGGGCGTGAGCCTGCCCGGGGCCGGCTGGGGCTCTGGCGTCTTCGCTGTTCTGGCTGGAGCATTGCTGCATTTGGAGCAGCAAAGGGGAGGGGGGACGTCACAGTAGGCAGAGCCCGTGATGAAGCCAGCCATCTGGGTGCACAGAGCGAGTGTGCGTTGGGATTGAGGGAAATGTGCCTCCGGGCCGTGTTCTGGGGAATGAGGGGCGCAGCTGTACCCACTCTGCACATGCCCGCAAGGCACGGCCCGGTCCCACTGCTTTGTCCTCCCTAAACTGCTTCCAAACAAGTGAGGCACTCTGCAGCCAGAAATGCAGAGGGACACCCAGATGCTGGCTCGCAGCATCTTGAGGAGAGGTTTTGGACTGGACCTTTCATTCCATTTCTGAGTGTTTTGCTTTTCAAGATGAGTGGGAGCATTGAGAACGTTCTTCTCCTCTAAAGAAAGGGGTGATCTCCTCTTTTAAGAAGGCCACAGGGAGAAGGACCCTGTTGATGGCCATCAGGCTCAGCACTGGCCTGTCCCCCAGACCCCCAGAAAGCATCACAGCTCACGGGGGGTCGGCAGACGAGATGACATCTGTGACACTGCCATCTGAAACCGGGATGGACATTTCCATTTTATCAACACGAGACTGTTGGCAGGGATTTTTGGTGGGGTGTACGTGCCAGGAACAGGCGGAAAGGCCAAGTGGGGAGGTCGTGGGGTAGAAATTCTGGCTCCGGCACAGGGGTGCAGGACACAGAGCAGGCCGCTTGACTGACATACAGTTTTCTCGTTTGTAAAAGGAGCATATTGCCCTGGCTGGTGTGGCTCAGTAGACTGAGCGTTGACCTGCGAACCATAGGGTCACTGGTTCGATTCCCAGTCAGGGCACATGCCTGGGTTGCAGGCCGGGTCCCCGGTGGGGGACACACAAGAGGCATTGATGTTTCTTTCCTTCTCTTTCTCCTCCCTTCCTCTCTATCTAAAAATAAATAAATAAAATATTTTATAAATAAATATATTTATTTATAAATAAATAAATAAAATGAGGGTATCTGTCCTACCTACCACACCACATTGTTAAATGGTTAGAAAAAAATAGGAAGTAGATACTAAATTACTAGAGAAAGGCAAGCCTGCTAAATAAATGCGAAGTGGGACTAGACCCAGGTGAGGGTCAAGAACTAGGGTTTGTTTAGTGCTCCGTCCCACACGGCAGGGGACGTGCTGGGCTTGGCCAGGCAGTTCCTTGGCCTGTGGTGGCTGGGCGTAGGAAGGACCCGTCAGCCGGGGTGCCCAGTAGCCCTCTGACAGCACCATCAGCCTCCCCCGTGGCTGAGGCCCAGTGCTGTGTCGCGTGGCCTGCCACCTGCAAGCCCTGGTGGTGGGAACCGAGCTTTGGCCAGCACTGTGGGGCGCAGAAGGGAGGGGCACAGAACACACACACGTGTGCTGGAGGTAACAAGGCAGAGCTTCCCACATGGAGTCCAGGGCCCTGCCCTCCAGCTCTGTGCCCTGGGTCCGTCTCTTCTCCAGCCTTCACTCAGCTTCTCCTTTTGTGAAATGGGAGATTTGCCATGAGGCCCACACCTTGGGATCAGAAGACCCCAGGTCCCCAAAGTCCTTAGTTTGATTGCCTCTGATTTCTGCCTCTGCTGTGTGGGAATAGATTCCTGTGTATTTCCTGCTGGAAGGGGTCCTAGGGTCTCCGGGGCCGTCCACACGGAGCTGTTGGGGAGGCAGTAATCGCGGCTGGAAAGACGCACGGTTCCTCCGCACCCTTCAGGGCTGCGTGCCCAGGATCCAATCAGACCGCGCTGGCCTTCCTCCCTGTCTCCAAGATCTCTGTTTTATTGGCGTAATCCATCTACATTTCTTCCTTTAGAGACAAAGATCATACAGTAGGGTTGCTTGGTGGGGTCTTCATTCACCCTGATTATTTCAGTCCCTCCTCTGGTAATATCCATAAATACTAACTCGCGGTGGACGGCAGCCACTTTGAGAGTCTTGGAAGACCAGGTGGTTCCAGGCAGACCTGTGGGACTGCGTTGCTGCCTTTTCAGTGAATTCATCCAGAGCCTTTCGTTGGTGATTATTTGGAGGGGCTGGATCGTCTGTCCCTGGGGGTATAGGCTGCTTTCTTTTTTGAGCCTGTTATGTAATAGTTTCATGGCAATTGTCACAGTATTTCCTGGACCATCCTGTCATCCTCTGCTATGAAAGAGGCTGACATAAACTCCCTGGCGGGACTGCCCTTCTGATTTTAAAAGCCCATCTGATCAGGTTGGTTCCTGTAATAGCTTAAAAATACAATTCAGCGTTATCAAAAAAAAATTAAATAATGTATCACGGAAGCCATGCAACCATAAAAACATTTTTAAATCCCAAAATGTCTCCATAAAGATGTCTGAGCACATTACTCAGTTATTTTTAAAGGATTCGCTTTGGTTGCCATGGCCAATGATTAGGGCCATCTGAACGAGCCTGTGTTGTGACCTCGGTCTGCCCTGTGGAAATGGTGCCGATGTCAGAGCCCGACCCGATGTGGCTGATGGGGTTGTCATGCAAGGAGCAGCCTTTTGAGCCCATGTGCTCCTTGTGCTCGATGGCAGGTAGTGTCATGCACTGCATGCAGTGACGGGCTGCTATTGAAATGGAAGAAATTGGGAAGTTGTCATATGAGGACAAGGGATCCAGTCTGAGCAAGCGCTGTTACCTAAGTGGAGGGAGTCTCTGGAGGGGACACGAGGCGGCTGGAGAAGGCACGGAGAAGGGGGACTGTCCACCCCTTCCTGTCCGCACCGTTACCCGTGAACGAGGTGTTGGGAGACGCGGGGGCCATCGGAGGGCGAGTGGCTGGGGCTGAGTTGTTCTCAGAAACCCCGCTAAGTTGGAGTGGGGTCTCCAGAGCGCCGGGAGTGCGGGTTCCCCCGCTGACCTCAGGATGAGTCTGCGGGGGCGGCCTCACAGGCGCCTCCGCCACCGAGATGAAGTGAGTGAGTTCCCTCTCGCAGCTCAGTGCCGCCACCTCTCGGCAGAATTTTCAGTGCGCAAGTAGCTGCTATTGAGATCGCATTCATCAGAAATGTCTCCCATTATCCTTGTGGCCGCCCAACGAAACATAAACGTGGAGATGCTTCAGAATCGAATGTTCCTCGCTGAAGAACGACTGACTCTACTCAGGCGATGACCGCGTTACCCCCACCTGGTGCGAGCCTCTCGTCCAGGGAGGGGGCTCGAACGGGGAGTGCTCAGAATTTCTGAGGGATGTCAGCAAAGATGTGTTTGTCACACTGACGGGTGACCCGAGGTGGAAGGCAAAACCAAGATTCTAAGATCTCGGTGGACTAGGACGGAGGGGATAAACAAGCGCGCAGAGGGCAGCGGGGGAAGCGGCAGCACCACCAGCAACGGGAGGAAACTGGCCGGGAGAGGGCTCGGGCCCAAGCGCACAGGCGGGCTCTTGGGGCTTCGTGGAGACCACGCTTTTGTTTACGCCTCCCCGGCAGGCCTCCAGCAGCGACCTCATGGCACGTGAAGGACTGTGTCCAGAACCCAGATCGCCTGTTTTTGCCCAGCCCGTGACCTAAGATTGGTTCTTACTATATTTTTAGCGGTCATTAAGAAATCAAAAGAAGAATAATATTTTCTGACTCCCCAAAATGATATGAAACTCAA